AACAAAATTTATAGGTTTCAAGTGCATAAGTTCCACAACACATCATCTTAAACTGTATTGTGTGTTCATTCCAAGTCAAGTCTCCTTCCATTACCATTTTTGTTTTCTTTTTTCAGTTAATGTTATTTTTCAAAGACTTTCCCCTGACCTGATACACATTTATATTTGTCTTTTTAGTGAAGGGGAATATGCCATGATCTGCCTTAATTGGGTTAACTGGTTTTTAATTGTTGGACACTTCCATTGCTTCCTGTTTTTCAGTATTATGAATAGCACTGCCATGAACTTTTTTATACCTGAAGCCTTTTTCTTCCTTTGAATTGTTTCCTTACTGTAAATTCTAGGAAGTGAGTTATTCAGTCAAAGGATATAATCACTTTTATGGCTCTTGTTATATATTGCCTAATTGCCATGAGAAAAAAAAAGACTAAATGCATTATGGCTTTGAATAGATACTGTTGTTTGGCTCCTGAAAACAGGAGGTCAAGAGATGGGCCCAAAGTGTAGCTAATTGCTGATGGAGTCAGGGTTTGTGCGCAGGATTCCTGACTTCTGGTCCCATGTCTTTTATTGTTGTTAATCCTCACTTGAGGATATTTTTCCATTGATTTTTAGAGAAGGGAGAAACATCAATGTGAGAGAGACACATCAATTACTTGCCTCCTGCATGTGCCCCAACCAGGGCCAGGGATCAAGCCTGCAATTGAGGTACATGCCCTTGACCAGAATCCAGCCCCAGGCCCATCAGTTTGCAGGCCAACGCTTTATCCACTGAGCCAAACCAACTAGGGCCCATGTTTTTATTGTACTGCAAATATAACAGTGTTGTTGTGGTAGCACTAATAAATCTAAATATTGATAAGCCAAGTAGGCTTGTTACAACCTTAAGGGTAAAGCTTGGGGCTGAACGCATTTTTCCCCCCAAAATTTTATTTAGAACAATGGATCTCAACCTTTCCTAGTGCCGCCGACCCCTTTAATACAGGTGCTCATGTGTGGGTGACACCCCAATTTCATTTGTACAATTGTAATAATTTAAAGCATAATGCTTGAATCACAGAACCCATAGGTATTGATTAATGTGATTTTCCAAAGGTCGAGGCGGACTCCTGGTGAAGGAGCCGTTCACTCCC